CACCTTCCCCGTTGGCCGCAACACGTACCATATCTGCTTGATGCGCCACGTCCCAAACTAGATCTATCGTCCCGATGCCCGACCAGATCCGCCGACCGCCCCAGACCAGATCCACCTACTACCGCTTCGATATGTTTCCAATCTGTCGCCCAACTTCCATCTTCTAGCCACTGTTTGAGGAAGGTAAGACCCTTTCTTTAGATTTTGCGTATTTTAGGGGTATTTAAAAAGATATTTTTGGTTTTCCTATATTTTAGGGTATCTAAAAAAATACAAGTGTGGGACCGATATGTGTCTTTTGTTTATAACTAATCTGAGAAGTATATATCTACAACTGCAACAAACTTACTACATTTATATAGCTTAAATTCTAAATAGAATCTATAAATATGATAAAAGTTAGAGGAGGAACATCTCGACAATTATTAAAAGCTACTGATATAACTTCAAAGGAATCGTGCAAAATCAACTTAGAAAGTGAAAAAGATGTATATTTCTTGTTTGTTAATTTTTACAGTAATATTTACAAATTACATTCAATGAGCTAACTGTACTCGTATATTTCAGGAAAAGGAAAGGGTCTCAAGATAGTTGAGGAAGAATGTGTTAGTGAGGTAATTATTGGTATATACATGTATTGACATTCTAGAGTTGTATAGTTGTATATACATTGTATTGACTTTCATATTTTGTTAATTCTTGAATTGGTATATACATGTATTGACATAATTGAGTTTCATGGTGATATATACGTGTATTGAATTCTAATTTTGATTTTTCTTTAATTGGTATATACATTTGTTGACCTTTTAATTTTGATAAATTTTCTAATGTTTTAAAGGACAACACAAAGTCTAATGAAGATAATGAAATAGTGAATAATGAATCAACCGACGAACATAAGAAAAATAACTCATCGTCAAAAGAAGTTTAAGAAATTGAATCTGATGACGATACACGCCTAAAGACTACAAATTTAAGAGGCATCACCTATTTTCCTAATCGTTTTGATTTATGGGATGTTAGTTTTCAATTTTTTAATTTACTTTTGTTGTAGATGATTTATTAAATGATAAAGAAATAGGAAAACAAGAATACAAATAACTTGTGACAGCATATACTCCTTAGTGGTTAGGTTTATATACCAATTGATGCAAATATGTATATATACATTAAGAAGATACAGTAATACAGTAGAACAATTGCATAACGAAGAGATGATAAATGAATCATTGTACACAAATCGTTTAAATTAACTAAAATACAAAACAAAGTAATTAAAATAATTAACTTGAAATCCCTTGAATGTAGGAAAATCATTTTGAATTCAAAACAAAGTTTGTTACGTGATTGAATATAAGAAAAAGCCAAAAAAGACATAGAAAATGGTATTGTTGGAAAATTACGTTCTTTTGTAAAACTCCAAAAATAACCTTTAACCATTTGTGCAAAATTTAAAACTAATAGACATTTTAAAAAACGGGTGGCAAAATTTAGCCATCCACTTCAATTTCCCAATTTGGTTGGTTAGGCAGTTTAGGAAACAAATAGAAAAAGGTAATTTCTTTCTTTTTTTTTCAGAAAAGGGGAAAATAATGTTATTTTGAGGGCTAGAGATTTGGGCTTGACTTGACTACGGTGTTGGACTTTATATAGAATTGGGCTTGACCAGCTGGTATTGTAAGATGGGCTCTTACTCATGTTTCTATCTTGGGCTAATGACAGAAATGACCCATAAATATAGGGCTTTAGAAAATGTCCACAACTATTAGATGTCGCGAAAATGGTCGACCATATTTATTTGGGACAAAGTTACTTCTAACCCATAATTTTATTTTCGACAAATACTTCTAATCAGACAAATGTCAAATGTGAGTGAGTATCCTTTTTTTAGTACAACAAATGTGAAGATGGAGGATTCAACTTCCGTGAAGAAAAAGGATACCTTAAATGCTGAGATATACTCTAGCAGTATCCCTATTTTAAAATGAGTTTTGAAATATTAAATATAATTTATAAATAGCATATATTTTTAAATGAGTTTTAAGATGTGTCTTTTTACATTATGCTTTAATAACTGGGTGTGGGTGTGATAAATAATATTGATTAAGCAAAACATGAATTTAGGTTACATTTTATACATTATTTTAGCTCAAAAGTAGACAAATTATTAGTATAATGTTGTTTTCGAGGGCAACAAATAATTTTTATTGGATTTCTAGGACTCTTTTTAGCAACTGGAAAATTAGATGTGTTGGATTTTTGTTACAATGGGTCATTTAGTCAATTTTAATTAAAAATGATGGAGAATAATTAAAATTTTAAGAGTTTAGAACTACATTTTAATTAATATTGAAATATTTAGAGGGGAAAATCCTAAAATAAAGTTTACATCTAAAAGAATGCTCTTATTTACCGCGATTAACTAACTTGTTTTGTTAAGAAACTTATAGTAAAAAAGTTTATTTAGTTAAACGATATAATTCGTAGCATAATTTGTAGTTAATACTTGTTTGTTTTTTAAGTAAATTCTTGATCCCCTACCCCATAATTGAATTTTTTTAAAAAAAAAAAGAGTTTAAAATATTTTGGTCCAATCATAATAAAATTTTCGATATTTATTTTTGTTTGTTCACGAACAAAAAGGAGTTTTCATAATCTTTCGAGACTTTCGCCATAAATATTACTGACAATCAATAGAGTAGTCTAAAATATAAATATAGAATAGAACATACGGATCAAAATATATTATCAAACCTTTGCATCAATGCCTTATACATAAAGTTTTCCTATCTAAATTCTAACCCTCATAAATATCTTTAATTAACGTATGCATTATGGAAGTAGCATTAATATCAACCTACATAAGTAAGTAGGGATAGTTAGTTGATCATATCCAACTAATATCATAAATGTTTGTGTTTCTTGAAATTTTTAATTCTTATGTATTGAACTAAAAAAGAATTACAAGTTATAAAAGTCAAACCAAACAAAATAAAAAGAACATTTCTTACCCCTTGCTTGAAATTTGAACGGTAATCCACTCATGGATATTTTCTAAACTCAACTATATATATCATTGGTCAAAAAGAATTATTATTTTTTCCCTTCATCTATCTTTTCAAACACATCAATGATACTCAACAACTCAGTTTCTAAGAAAATTTTATTTCTTGTGAACTTTCACACTATCGACCAAGTTTTGTTCTTCAAATCAGCGTAATCAAGTCGAACACGTTATTTGATCCTATTATTAAAAGCTTCAACTAGCGGGAAAAAGGATGCGTTCTCCGCCATTGATGCTTTCCTCGTGACTGCTTCACAAGCTCACGCAAGGTTTCCCACTTGACCAGAGACCTGGCTCAGTTGCTCAAATTTGGGAGATTCCTGTAATAGATAACCCCAATTGACCGTTGATTCAAATTTTCTATGCCTCCACAGTTGATCCACATGTTTGCTTTCGCATTCGCATTCGCCTTTTAAAGTTCTTCTTCCTTGGTTGCGATCGCGATCGATTCAATCGCGAGCTGCTGTTTTTCGCTCTTTTGATGGTTATTTTGGTACACCCAATTGACAAATTCTTCTCCAAACTGGAAGATCACAAGCACCATGAATCGGAAGCGTTATCGACTGCGATTGATAGATTTCTCTCCGAAGTCTCGATTCGTTTGAACGATTTGGGGTTGGATTCGAAGAAACCCTCGTCGGAAATCCTCTCGTTTCGATGGATCAAGAGATGTATTGCACTGCTTCGTGTTCAGCACAGGGCTTTCGCGAAGTTGATCGTGGAAATCGACTACCCACTTCGTAAACAGGACGCTTCTTCAGGAGATGACTTTCTGAAATACACCTTGAAATTGCTGGAGCTTTTGAATTCGATTAGTTCATCCCTTTCTCATCTGGGTCAAGTTCGGTTGGAGCTCTCTCATGCTTTAAGCTTGGTGGATTCTTCCCCTTCCTCTGCAATTGATCGTCTTAAACCTATAGAATCCAGCAGCTTCACCAGGGACTCGATCAAGGGAGACGGAACTGGAGAAATTTGTTTGGAAGTTGCGAAATCTGGAAAAGATTCGGTGGTTTATCGCTCTTTGATGATTATGCAGCAGATTAGTTTGTGGGTTTGTGGGATTGTGATTTCCGGATTGAGTGGAAATGCTGAACCATTAATGGGGTTGAGGAAATCAGCTGGGAAATTGGGGGTTTCTTCTTTGAACAGATTGGATTCGATTGTTCACCAAGAAATTTGTGAATCTGGGGTGAGGCTGAAGGAAGTTAAAGAGGCGAATGATGCAGTTGAGCTTCTAGTTGCTTCCATGGCAGCTGGGAAAACCAGAGATGCAGCTGAAGATTTGCAGAAAAGATTAGAGATTCTTGAGAAGGAGATGGATGATTTGAGGAAAGAAGTTGATTCGCTCTTCTCTGACGTTCTGGAAGAGAGAAGTAAACTGCTTGATTGCCTGAGGCAGATAAATCAATAGCCATGGTTGGATTGTTTCTTCTTTTACAGATTGAATTCTGATTCTGAGCTATATTATGTATAAACTTCTCTCTTGAATTGCAATATAAATAATTATGGTACCAGTT